TTGGAAGGTAAAGGGGGGTGTGGGGGGGTGTTGATGCGGGGTGGTGTGTGAAGGGTTTTGTTCGTTAATTCACGCGTGATGTTTTGATGGTAAAATTTTAATGTTGTTATTGTAAACCGCTCATTTGTGGGCAGTTTAAGTTTCTTGGTTGTGTTTTAAATGTCAGGGGAAAACGAATTTGTGTTTTGTTATTTTTTGTGTGTGTTTTGAAGGAGCCGACTAGTGTGTTGTGTTATGAGGCTGTGAGCGCTCTCTTTCCCCCGTAGCTCACTAGTTTTCGCTAGAACACGATCCACCAGTCGCCTTACAACCAGGTCCCGCAATTACTGCTGGGTGAACAAAGGCGAAGAGTTAATGATCATGTCGTCTAGTCACTCCTCCTTAGCCAGGACTCGAACCTATTGCAAATCACTCACGAGGCGCTACGGAACGTGTAATATACTCGTAACAGGCTCCTAGATATTACTACTGCTCGGTTTAGTGACACCCTGCGTCACTAATTGTGAGCCAACTCAAGAATTGGATTGGCTGTAATATCTGTTCTATGATACCTATGCCCCTGTTACCTAGCAGTAAAATAGGTACCTGGGAGTTAGTCAGCTGTCACGGCCTGCTTGCTGGGGGTGGAGGCCTGGTCGAGGACCGGGCCGCAGAGACACTAAAAGAAAAGCCCCGAAATCATCTGAAGATAACCTCAAGATAATATATATATCTGTTTCATGTGGCTGTAATGTTTGGCTTGTCAAGGGCTTCCCGACCCAGGTTACAGCGGATGTCTACGTACAGAACCTCCGCTGTATTGTACGTGCTCCTATAAGCTGTGTTAACTGGTAGAAACCGAATAGAAATACGTAAGGAGGCGCAGGCGGAAGCAGATGATAGGACGGATACCGAATGATTCACGGACTGGCATACAGAAAGACAGATTGACGGATAATCAGGACGGGCGGTCAAATACACGAACAATCAGACTGACTTAGGAAATGTAGATGTTTATCTCTCAGAATGTTTGTTAATATGTTTATTGTTTGTGATGTGTTTATATGTATGTATTAACACGATGTACTCAACGGGGTGAGAATAGCTTGAGTTACCTCATCCCTTTGTGTGTATTTTACCTCAATAAAGTTATTTGAATTTCAATTCAATTTCAATCAGACTGACTTAGACAGGCTTATGGAGAGTCATAGAAGTACAGTTACTCTGATGAACGAACAGGCAGTTGAACTAAAGTTATACAGGTTCCAACCTGACAATTGGAACGTGCCATTCAGCGGAACGTCAATGCCGACGTCCCGTAACCCAAAGAACGGACGAGACGGACCGCAATAAATTAAACGGACAGTAGACAGCTGTCAAATGGACAGATCATTACTCAAACGGATAAGAGAACATTTGAATAGTTTTAACCGCTATATCCGAAGTGTGGTCGTAATCAAACTGGGGGCGGTATCCGGCGTGCGGCCGGGTCCGGTGTATGGAAAGTGGCCGTATTCGATGTGTTTTTCCGGTATTTGGCCGTATCCGGAGCATGGCTATCTGAAAATGGTAGCCTTAGCTGGGGTCATGGCTGTGTGACCTCATCCGGACAGCAACCGGCATCCGGAATGAAGTCATAAGAAGACTGTAGTCAGTCTTGTTATGACTGACTACAGTCATGAAGGGTCAGTCAGCTTAGAAGTTACAGGTTCTGGACGAGTGGATATTCTACAAAGGGGAGAATATTGCTATTTTCTGTAATTGCAACATTTGTATTGCGAGGGTGTGTAGTGTGTTGTGTGGGTGGCCTTGCACGCTGGTGCAACACTTTGGTAAGCATGTTTTGTGGTTTGTGTTGCATAAAGTATTTCTTTTGTGTTGTTAAATACGTTCAGTTGGAGTTCCCGAATAGTTTCTGGGATATTGACCAACGGGGGTCAGTAACTCCGGAAACATTGACTAAAACGCGGTAAGTAACCAACCCCCTTGCCTTCCGTTGTTGATTCCGGGAGGTTAACGTCCTCGCGGCCCGGTCTCTGACCCGGGCCTCAAGATCTGGTCAAACAGGCTGTTGGACGCGGCTACCTGACGGATGAAACCCCCGGGAAACTATAAGCAAACGCGGACAGTAACCCCCCAGGAACACTGACCAGTTTTGTAAGATTAAAGCCTTAACCGGCCCCCCCCCCCCCCAAGACACAGAGATGAGTGTGAAATCCTTCACCTTGGGATACAGTTAAGATATACAGGGTTTAAGTGGAAGGTTGGGGGGGGAGGGGGCTTTAAGACCGTCACAGTTTAGACCAAGCAGCAAGTATAGTAAAGTATCCTACCCGAAACGCTTTGCGTAATAGTGGTTTTAGGGATTGTATGTACTAGCTCTATCTATAAATCCATCAATTGTTGTATTTTACCTTGTATGTATGTACTTGACCTGAATAAATGTAGTATTGTATTTTGTATTGTATTGTATCCTCAATGTATATATATATACACACCGAGAAGCAGCATATGCCTATGTTTATACACACACACATATATATATATATATATATATATATATATATTGCTGGAGATGCCGGCTTAGTGTTGTGTTGCTATATAGAGAAGTGGGGGGTGACTGCAGGATTCGACTTCTCGCTTGGTAACTATACTGCCTTCAAGCTGTCCATTGGCGCCACTATGTCGGGCTTCCTTGTACCTCTCCCCCCCCCTCAATCCCCCCATCCCCCCATAACCCCCCCCCCACCCACCCACCCTCTGCTGCTGGTAGCAAATCAATCTCATTTATTTAACTGCATTTGCTCAAGATTTGAGAAGCAAGATATCGGCTTTGTCTGTCCTTGAATAAGTTGAGTATTGCAAGATGGGGGGGGGAAGTGTTTGGGGGTTTGAGGTAGTACTTTATTAATGTGAGTGAGTGGTTCCATGGCTGCTGGAATGCTGAATGTGGAGACGGGATGGTCCGGGTGGTGGGTACACGGTGCCCCGGGCATCTTGGGTAGATTCACGCTGTGTGGGGGCAGAAGGAGGAGTTTCTTGTGAGTTGTGAGTGGTTCATGGGGGGAGGGGGAGGGGGGTAGTTGACAGGTGACCTCGATCAAGGTGCTTTATGAAGGAGGTTGTAGGGTGTTTGAAGGAGGTGTTGATACTTAGTGTTATCCGATAATGTTTGGTGAGATGTAGGTCTGAGTGTGGGTAAGGAACCGCGGGTCTGAGTGTTAACAAGGAAGCGAATTCGTTATTCTGTATGTTGAAAGTTGGTTTCTGTTTATGTGATAAGTATAATTTCCAATCGGTGGTAGACTCGAGGAATGTTGTATGTACTAATATGTTGTAGTGAATGTTGTGTTATGTTCACTATACATATTGTTGCTGGGAGCACCAGCTTGTAGATGGAGTCAGTGTTGTAGGAAGTTGTGTGGTGGTTATACGAATATGTGACAGATATTGGTCGTATAGGAATATAAGTAGATTATAGGTAACTTGCTTCATTGGGGGTTTGTTAATTGGTGTACCACGTAGGGTTTTTGGAGAGGGTTGTATTGTTTATTGGAGTTGTAATTGTCTATTAAATGAGCAGTTGTTTGTGTTAGGTTGTAAATCATGTTCAATGTGTGGTCTTGAGGCGCCGGTTTCACTCCATTTTACTCGATATTTGTTATTCTTTTGTTTCTTGTGTTGAATATTGTGAACTGATAGTGGAATTGTGATAAGAGTTTCACGGGAGAAATTGGTTGTTGTTGTGGTTATTGTTCTCTGAGATAACAATTTTGTAAATATATTCTGATAAGAGTATGACTTGTGTATTACTGTACCTGTTGTTTAAAAATAGTTGAAGGCGTCTGTCCAAATCTTTATGTATATTATGACAGTGAGAACAATGGTTGAGGGCAGTGTGTATAAATGTGTTTATTACTCTAGTCTTATATGTGTTTGGACATTCGGAGTGATCATTTATACACATTGCACTGTTGGTGGGTTAAGTATAAAGTTGTGTTGTTAAAGTGTAGTCTTTGGTTCTTAAGAAAACACGGAGGGAAGGCAGTGCGATGCCTCCTAGTTCATGGGTAATGGGTAATCACCGAGTTTAGGGTCAGTAGATCCTTTAATTAATGGTACCAATTCCTGGAGGTGTTTCACACATCGATGTATCTGTATTAGATGCGAGGTTTCTTTTTAGTTTAGAAGATGGTGGCTTATAGTGTTCGGAGATAAAAATTAGCAAGGAATGAAAAAGAAAATTACGCTCGAATCATAGCTGATGACGTTCGAACATTTTCGAACGGTGCTTCGTTGGCGATGTGTGTTGGAATCGCAAGCCGTCCTCGACTCACAGCCCGTCCTCCAAACAAAGATCGAAAAGTGATTCCATGCACCTGGCAAACCCCAGCTGTTTATGAATGAAAAGCGGTTTACACACGACTCACAACTGCTGACGTTCGAACATATCCGGAACAACTGTTTCACTGACGAATTTTGTTGGAATCACAACGCTATAAATGCTTCACCCACGTACTAGGAATACAAATAATCGCCAACAGAACCTAAACACCTAACTTAACCTATGCCTATATATGCACAATATGCTACTATATTATAATAATAAAATATAGTTGGGAAAAATCCCGTTTTGAATGAACAGCGTGTTAAAATTTATGAATGCGTGTGTGGGGTCGACCGCTGAATGTAATGGACTTGAGTCGAGGACGGGTTGGAAAAACGGTTTACACACGACTGAAGTGAAATCGTTCGAACACTTCCGGAACAAGTGCTTCACTGACGAATTATGTTGGAACCGCAACGCTGTAAATGCTTCACCCACGTACTACAAATACAAATAATCGCCAACAGAAGCTAAACACGTAACCTAACCTAACGTAACTAGTGGGTAAATGTGTACAATATGGTAATATAAAATAATAGTAATTTATATTTGAGAAAAATGTTGTTTTGAATGAACAGCATGTTCATTGAAAATAACCATCAAAATAATTGTAGTCCTTTATATAGTCGACGAATAAAGTAAACTGTCAATGAATATACATAATCTGAAGTTTAAAAAAATAATAGTTTGCTATGAATCCCTAGGCTAAGCAATTAGGTGAAGGCGAGGAATTTGAAATGATAAAACGGCTAGTTTGAAAAGTGACGTCACTGAAAACATGAAACGTGATTGGCTGAAGAGTCGAAGTGTGAGAACGGGAGCGACGGAACGTTATTTTGGCCCCAGTAGTGCCCGGGGACGGTTGTGTAGGTGTGGTGGTAGTGGTGGTCTGTAACCTGATGCTTGAGCCGTGTTTTTTTGGTTCGCTACGGCGACCAGACCCGTACGTAAACCCACCACTACCTTGTACACCGTCCAACCGTAACTACTGTGGGGAACACTCCTGCCCCTTATCCCAGTTTTTAATCATAGTTTTGTTATAATTTGTATGATAATTGTTTGTTTTATTTCGTTGACAGATGAGGAAGGCGTTGTGGGTGACCGTTAACAGCGTTTTGATGGTAGAAGCCTCGCCCAACAACTACTGCTCTGAAGTCTGATGTTCCGGTGAAATAAATGTTGACGTAGCAGTTTCAAGGTGAGTAAAACTTCTGGAGGCTATTGTGGAGGTGTATTAATTAATTGTTTTGAGTGGAAGGAAGAGTTTGATAGGTGTGGCTGCAGAAGACTATATCAGTGTTAGTAAGCTAGCGAGAGGTCACTACTGTACAGGCTAAGACGGGAATGAAGTAGCTGAACGGTAATTTGCGGATGTTGCACAGTTCCGCTGGCACCGGGTACATTAACATTAAATATGAAGTGAGGGTGGTGGTGATGGGTGTGGTATTTAGGCTGACTAAAGATTAAGGGCAGTATGAATGAAGTGGGGGCAATAGGATCGGATTGGGTAAATGTAGGGTCGCAGAAGCGATGTAATTTATTGTGCAGTGTTAAAGTAGATAATTAGAAATGAAAGGGGTGAATTGGACATTAGATGGATGTGTTGCGGTATGTTTGGGATAAATCTTTAAAGAGTATTCGATAGTGTATACCGTGGCAAGAGGTTTGAGGTCAGGTGCAGGCTGTTGTGGTTAATTATATAGGGAGTATTGTACCGTAGATAAGCATCAAGTTCTTTGCCCTACTTAAGTTCTTTGTACCATCATAAGGTAAATGGTAATGTTGTGAAGGTTGACATGTCACATAGGTATTTTAGGTTTCGTTGGAAAGTTGTAGGGTAATGAGTTAAGTGTGGAAAGGCTAATGGCATAGAAGATGGATATGTAAATGTTTCTTTGAAGGTAAGGAATACAAGGTTAATTTGCTACAAGTTTTGAAGGATATGATACCACGTGTAAGGTGAACTCATGGTCACGTCTGAGGGAGACGAACGTTTTGTGCATTAAAAAAGGAAAATTTGCAAAAATTAGCATTTTAAAGGTGAGGGGGGGTTGAGTTAATGTTAGTGTTTGCGCCTGTATAACGACTCGCTGCAGTTGTCTAAATAGGTCGGCGAAGGTTAATTGAAAATGAGGGTTATAGAATGAGTTGATGTAGTATTGATCGAGCAGTGGTTGGGTGACGACCATGTTAGGTAGAAGAGTTCATAGTACGTAGTACCAATAAATTAGGAACGGAAACGGTAAATGTAAACGTAATTTCATTTGTCAGGAAGTGAATACATTGAAAAATAATGGTTCGTGTCATGGATCTGTCATGCCTGATTTGTTAATTACGTAGGCAAATAGACCTTAAAGTTATTCCACCCTCAGTATTGGTAGAGGGAGCGTAGCGAAGCAAGTCCGTTAAATAAGTGTGGTTGGTACGTTAGTAGTAAGAGTGCAGGAGAGATTTATATGAAAGTTTGAAAAGAAATAACTCTCTAACTGAAATGTTTTTCCCCAGGTGAGATGTGGGCACCCTGGACGTGGCAGCTATGAGGTGCAGGGTCTACTTAGCTCTACCGACTGACTTGGCGCTGTTGTTTCTCTCCCATAGCAGGTATGGACAATTGCACTGATGTGCAGGTTGAAAGTATTTAGGTACAAAATAGACGTGTAATTAGGTCAGGCTTGGTTAATACGTACCGTAAAGTATAGTTACGAATTTACATAACTAGTACACTTCATTCGTTTAAAAATGTACTGTGACAAGTTGATGAAATAGGTATAAGGGAAGTGTGGTGGTGCCATGTGAAGTGACGTAGCTTTGGCAGTTGTGGTAGTTAGGAGGGGCCACTTGTACCTCAAACTTGACTGTTGTAGTGAGGGTGGAGGTTAATGGGAGGCTGGCAGTGTGGTGCTCCATGGGACAGGGGGTGGTTTTGAGGTTTTTTAGTCGTGGTAGTCTTTTTGCCAATTATACCCGATGAGAAAGTCATTTCCCACAGACCCTTTGCCAGTGTTGGTTATTGTTTTGTTGCTTAGGGATACATACACTCCCACGTGTAGGAGTGTGGTAGAGAACGTATGTATGTATGGGACGCCTTGATTATAAAGCTAGTTAACCTACTTAAGGTTCTCTTGAATGTTTGA